GTAGACAGGAGGACATCTTTGGTAACAAAGAAAAGAATACTGAACTGTTACATGACATCTGTCTTTCTTTACGGCAGAAAATGTTAGACGATTTCCTCAAAGATGAAGAAGAGTCTCGAGGCGACAGAGATGTGGATCTGCAGAAGGATGCTAAGGATATCATGGACTGAACGTGTGAGCAACGATGAGGTCTTAGAGAGGTTACAAACAACAAGGAGGCTTATGGTTAACCCCAGGAAGAGGGAGCTGAGTTTTTTTGGACACATAGTGATAAAGGAGGGCTTGGAGAATCGGATACTCACAGGTCGAATAGAGGGAACGAGAGACAAGGAAAAACAATGCGTGACATACCTGGCGGACTTAAGCAAGTGGATGACAGACCGTGGTCTGGTAGAGGAAGCAGAAGGAAGGAACTTGTTGAGAGCTGCAAGGGATAGAAGGAGGTTGAGAGCCATGATCGCCTACGTCCTGAATAGACATGGCACATAAAAAGAAAGGATAATGACGGTGCCCAAAATTCCAAATCTGTCAAGAAATTCTCCCTTTTTGTTCTTCGGAGGAAACGTTCAGTTGTTTCAAAAGAGGAAGATCTCGATGGATAGGTCGATTGTATCGTGACAATTGCAGTCTTGTTTACTAATCAAATAGGAACGTGAAATAGAAATAAAATTCGGGAGGTCTCTTGATTAGAATCGCAGACATTTGGCTCTGGAGCTGCTGGGATTGGTCGTTTGAGAACATCCCTTGACTAAGCATTCATCTCCCAATGAGTGAGGGGAATTAATGAGAAACACAGAAGAGATTAGTGGCGGGGTGGAAATAGTGGCAGTGGTGGAGGGCAATGAATTTGTTATTTCGCTTTTCTGTAATATAAATAAATATGACGTTCGAACCAGTGAATTTTACATTTACATATATGTATGTGTATGTGTGTGTGCATTTGTGTGTGTGCGTGTGCGTGTGTGTGTGCGTGTGTGTGTGCGTACGTGGGTTTGTGTTTGTGTGTGTGTGTGTGTGTTGTATGTGAAATGTGGATCTGAGTGCGCAAAAGGGAATGTCTCAAAAACACACATATATACAAGTACAACTAATGTCATTATATATCACTCGCGGGCATAGACACAAAGATCTATCTATATATGTACACGTCTCTTTCTTTCTTTCTCTCTCTCTCTCTCTCTCTCTCTATCTCTCTATCTATCTATCTATCTATCTATATATATATATATATATATATATATATATATATATGTATGTATATTTATAGTGACATCTAAAGAAAAGCAATACCTCAGGTTTAAAATGAAATTTTAGAAATGAAAAAAAATTATCTTGAAGCTTTTATTTTCAATCTAAAAGATTAAATTAAATATTTCCAATAAGCAAAATACATTGATGTATTTCAAAACGAGTTTAAATAGATTGGATTGAGTTTTTTTCTCTTTTGAAATCGCTGATTTTAGTCATATTTACAAATCTCTCAGCACAACGTCGTTCTCTTTAATAAATATATTTCAAAAGATAAAATAGACTTTTCTGAAACTTGAGGAATATTCGCTGATTTAAATTTTAATTAATCTGATTTGAAACAAATAGTACTTAATTTTAGCTTATAATATCGCAGAAAAACATTTTTAACATGGTGGGTGTTTTTATGAGATGTTGATAACTATCTCGATAGGATTATCTTTGGATTTTTTCTACGATGGACATATATGCTAAAATATTTGAGGAATATAAAGTGGGCGTCATTTTATATCCTTTTTAGCTACCAAGTAATCTTAATTTTTTTATAAAATATTCTAAGTAATCTAATGTTTTATTAAATTTTAGTTTCTTTGGTAAATTTTAGGTACTTTTAGGTAATTTACTATAGTTACCGCTCATTTTCTGATGATGACGTGTATGGACGTCCGTATGTACAAAAATAATCAGATGAAAAAATTCAAAATTGTTTTTTTTTAAATACTGTGGGTTGGAATATTGTAGTAAGGTTTCAAAATTAATTACATTCATCCTGAAATATTCATTAAAATCCGACAAATATTTTATATTTGCAAGAATTTTCAAATCAATGTGTTTTTCACCGGAAAAGTGGCTAAAATGTTGTATACTAATTTATGGTAACCTGCTTTGTTTTAATTCAATTTGAGGCATTTTTCATCATGCAATCTTATTCTTTTAGCTAATCTATGTTGAAAAATCTTTGCATCACAGTCATTGAATATATATATATATATATATATATATATATATATATATATATATATATATTAATGAAAACATACCAATTTTAGGTTCCATTATAATAATTTATTTCACCAGTGCTCTTTTAAGGGACGCTGGATCATCAGATAACACTTCCAAAAATGAAATGAATTTTTTGGAAGTGTTATCTCATGATCCAGATAAAGGATTAGAAGGGCTCTGGTGAAATAAATTATTATAATGGAACCTTAAAGTGGTCTGTTTTTCTTTAATTTATTAGCTCGGGATTTACATTGAGCTCTCAGCATTTCATCCTCCTTCGGACTACCCATACGGATTACCAAGATTTTCATAATATATATATATATATATATATATATATATATATATATATGAAGAAATATAGTCATAAGATGTGCTATATTTGTGAGATAAATTGATCAATATCAGAGATAGAGCGTGTGTAAATATAAAAAAGTAAACATAGAATTCAACACTTAGAGGTGACAGTCTGCTTCATGCTGGATGCAATCGTCAGGCCACGAGAGCACTCGTATCCTGACGATCGCATCTAACATGAAACCGACTGTCGCCTCTAAGTGTTGAATTCTATGTTCACTTATATATATATATATATATATATATATATATATATATAGTGAATAGCAAAAGTATTTAACACATTCGTTTTTCTTACATATCTCAAAAATAACAGAGATCAATTTCAATGAAACTTCTAGGAAATATTTAAACGAACATTGTCGATCAAAACATAGAAGGAAAATGTAAAACCACTGTTTTGAGAAACATTTATTAACAATAAATAAAGTAACCCATATGCAAAAGTATTTAACACACTTAACACACTTTACTAATATTTAGTACAGTAGCCTTTGTTCTGCTTTACAGCCTCCACTAGTTCTTCAACTAGTTTCTTGCAGGTACTTGTTAATAGGTTTGTAAAATTTGGGTGAAATAAATAATAATAAGACATTATTCCATCGATCTGTATAGCAGAATTCCCAGAAAGAGGCACTTGGGGGATTATCACAAAACGAAATCATCAGTTTAACCTTGAAAAGTATATCCACCGTCCCCATATTTTTGTCACTTGGTTGCTTCACCGATGACTCCAATTTTGACCTGTTTAAGTCTAGGGTTAACCGTTATCTTCCCCACATAACCCTATAAACAGTGCCTCTTACCACCGACTCTGATACCCTCGAAGGGCTCTTGGGCCTTGTACAATGATCATTATTATTAAAACAAAAATAATCACCAGTTCATGTTTTGCCATCGTTTTACGTTTGTTATATATTTAGATGGTTTAGTCTGTTTCTATCATTTATTACAAAAGTTCTATCATCTTTTAGGTTCGGGGGAGGTATATCAGATGTTCTAGCATGCGCAAAAGATAGGAATACGGAGATTTGAAAGTTTAAATTTGGGGGTTTGTAGCGACCCACCATATTTAAAAGAAATCGTCTACCTTTATTAATTACCAAAATTAAAACATTTCGTTCCTCTCTGTCGAACTTGATCAGGAAATGGCGAAAACGTGGACAAGAAGAAGGCTACAAAATGATGGTAAAGATGAAAGAAAGAGGTAGGAAAAAAAGAAGAAACCAGAAGGAAAGAAAAAAAATAAAATTACTAACAAATAACGAAGTAGAGAAGGCATGAGACGAGAAAATCAGGAAAAGTTATACAAACTATGAAATTTAGGGAAAAAGAATGAAACTGCGCAGACGAGAAAGAAGAATGAGAAAAAATGATTAATAAGAAAAGCAAAGACAAAAAGAATGAACGAAATGAGTAACGAAAAACTTAGGTAAGGAAGAAAATTATGAACGAAATGACTTTCAAAGAAAGAAAGAAAAAAAAAAGAAAAAATAGCAAGAAAGATACATACTGGAAAGAAAGAAAAGAAAGAAAGAAGTAGTCAGGAAAAAATACTGAATAGCAAGAAAGAAAGAAAGAAAGAAAGAGGGAAAACTGAAAAGAAAGAAAAATGAAAGAAAGAAAGAAAGAAATAAAAAGAAGAAAAAAGAACGAAAGGAAAAAGAAAGAAAAAAAGAAAGAACGACAAGAAAGGCAAATATCAGAAAGAAAGAATTAGTTAGAAATAAATACGGAAAAGATAAAAGCTGAGAAAGAAAGAAAGAAAGAAAGAGGGAAAACTGAAAAGAAAGAAAATTGAAAGAAAGAAAGAAAGAAAGAAAGAAAGAGAAGAAGTAAGAACGAAAGAAAAAAAGAAAGAACGGCAAGAAAGGCAAATATCAGAAAGAAAGAATTAGTTAGAAATAAATACGGAAAAGATAAAAGCTAAGAAAGAAAGAAAGAAAGAGGGAAACTGAAAAGAAAGAAAAATGAAAGAAAGAAAGAGAAGAAGAACGAAAGAAAAAAGAACAGAAGAAAGAGTAATAATGAAGAAATATAAATAAGACATATAAATAGAAAGAAAAAGAAAGAAAAATACATCAGTATTACGTATATAAAAACAGAGAGAAAGAAAGAAAAAAAGAAAGACAAAGACAATATAGAAACAAAAAAGCTAATTGCGACAAGAGAATGAGAAGATATTTTCGAATACAAGCCAAAAAAAAAAAATATATATATATAAAATTATGTTGACGATTTTAAAAAGATGTAAAAGAAAAAAACTTCAAAATGGCCGAAAGAAATAATAAATGGTAATTCGGAAAGAGCATTTAAGAAGAATTGTGGGTAAAAGAAAAACGCAAAAGATGAAGAAAGAAAATATGTAAATATATTTAAAAAATTAAAAAAATAAAGATTAAAGAATAAAAAAAGCTACTGCAAAATTATAAAAAACACTTTTTTTCTTTTTACAAAAACACTTTTTTCCGAAAGGAAAGGAAACATCGGTAAAAGAATGGTTAAAAAAAAATCTACGAATTTATCAAGATGGTCGATTTGAGGCAAACATACACACCACACACCATACACACACCCTCAGAGGATTTATTGACATCAAATGGTTTCTTGTCACGACTTCAACACTTTAAAGCACTTCTGCTTTTTAATTTTTTTTAAAGTTCACTCTTTCTTATTTCGTATTTATCAATGTGTCAGTTCGTCTGTCAAGCTCTTACTTCGACTTCAACATCTTGTTTATACACATGGATGGACGATAGAAATATGGAGGAGGTAACTAATCTATTTCACTATCTGATCCTTTTTCTTTTCTTTCTTTCTTTCTTTCTTTCTTTCTTTCTTTCTTTCTACTGCAGTCTGTTCCTATCTATCTATCAACTTTTTCTTATCTATCTATCTATCTATCTATCTATTTCACTCATCTTTGTCTTATCTATCTGTCTATCTATCTCATTCACCGTTTTCTAATCTCTATCTCACTATCTCTCTCTCTCTCTATCTATCTATCTATCTATCTATCTATCTATCTCATTAACCTTTTCCTTATCTATCTATCTATCTATCTATCTATCTATCTATCTATCTATCTCATTCAACTTTTTCTTATCTATCTATCTATCTATCTATCTATCTATCTCATTCATCTTTGTCTTATCTATCTATCTAACTATCTATCTATCTATCTCATTCACCGTTTTCTAATCTATCTATCTATCTCACTATCTCTCTCTCTCTCTCTCTATCTATCTATCTATCTGTCTGTCTATCTCATTAGCCTTTTCCTTATCTATCTATCTATCTATCTATCTATCTATCTATCTATCTATCTCATTCACCGTTTTCATATCTATCTATCTATCTATCTATCATTCAACTTTTTCTTATCTATCCATCTATCTATCTATCTATCTATCTATCTATCTATCTATCTATATATCTCATTCGTCTTTGTCTTATCTATCTATCTATCTATCTATCTATCTATCTATCTATCTATCTCATTCACCGTTTTCTAATCTATCTATCTATCTCATTCACCGTTTTCTAATCTATCTCACTATCTCTCTCTCTCTCTCTCTCTCTCTCTATCTATCTATCTATCTATCTATCTCATTCGCCTTTTCCTTATCTATCTGTCTCATTCACCTTTTTCATATCTATCTATCTATCTATCTATCTATCTATCTCATTCACCGTTTTTTATCTATCTTTCTTATTCGCCTTTTTCTTTTCTATCTATCTATCTATCTATCTATCTATCTATCTATCTATCTATCTAATTCACTTTTTCCTTCTATCTTCTATGTCTTTCTGTCTTTCTTTCTGTCTGTCTCATTCCCTTTGTTTTTATCTATCTATCTCATCATTTCTATCGCTCAATCGTACTTTTAATGCTGGAGATTCTCGACTGTTTCTCTTCGGTAAATACAATGACTCAATTAAAAAAAAATATCGTATGCTATTTATAAAGCATACAAATCATCGCCAATTTGAAATGTGGCGTAATACAATCTTCCTTCCTTAACAATAGTTCTTACATTCGTATTCTAGTAAAATGTCATCTTTCTAAGTATAAACATCTTTCTCATATTCCATATATCTCTCCCCAGACAGTTAAATATGTGTGTGTGTGCGTATACATGAAATGAGAAAGAATCGAATATATATTCAAATGGTAGAGCATTATATTTTTATTATAGGATATTATAGGATATTACATTCAAACATGTAGATAAATGCAACACAAATGCACTCATGCTTCGATGTGTGTCAACACATCTCTTCAGACGTTAGTAAAACATACTAACGCCTGATGAGATGTGCTGACACACATCGAAACTTGAGTGCATTTGTGTTACGTTTATCTAAATGTATATCTGAAATATTTATATATATATATATATATATATATATATATATATATATATATATCAAGTATGTGATGCAGTTCAATTTACATGACATGACTCATTCATACAAAATACAGATATAGAAGTTTATGATATAAATGGCGAGAATACATCTTCGCAAACAAATTTAATGAAGTACATTAACCCCGAACCTGTAGATGAATGTTATGATCCCTGTTTATAAATTCCACTTGCATAAGGTCTTTTTTAGTATTTTACAAGCTTTCATCTGTTCATACAGACATCATCAGGTATGGAAATAGATTTGTTTTTGTTTTTTACTTCTCGGTAATAATGTTTATTAGTATGAATGATTCATGTAATATATATATATATATATATATATATTCATGTATATATATATATATATATATATATATATATATATATATATTTCAGGCGTACAAGCGGATCTTGGGTTTCCTAGATCAATAGTTTGGGAACGTGACGATAAACAGCAGGAAAGGTTAGATGGCACGGTTGCGTGCGGTCTGGAAACGCAATCTGATACAGTAGTGCAGCCTCCCGTCCATTACCCTTTGCGCAACCGTATGCAGAAATCATATCTACCTGATCATGATATGAATATCCTACCGTTGTTAAACGGAACACTTCTCAGATAACTCACTACTACACACATTAAAAGTTGAAGACAGACTAGCTACAAATGTACTCGAATGACAAGTCTAACCTAGTCTACATGGCAACACAGCTCAATCTACGATAAACTTTCTTTAAACTTAATGACTCAAAAACGAAGCATTTGCAGACATATGTTTATATAGAGATTTGTTTTTGTTTTGCCGTGAGGAAACTGCCCCCATTGGTTGTAAAATTATTTATTATAAACCCTGTATATATATGCAATTCTGAACAAAAATATCGTGGAAAATAAATAAAAAGAACAATCAATCCAAAAACTGCAATCTCTGCTTTGAGGAAAAAATAGCTGTAATACGCCCCAGATCAAAACAAACTACTAAATAAACGATCAGAACTCATCTCAAATGCAGATACAAAAGCAAATTTTTACTACATTTTTTAAATTCGAAAACTGAAAAGAATAAATAAAAATTAATAAACAAATACAACTAAAATAAGTTAATCCGAATAAATCAATAAAGTAAATAACAAGCAAATTAACAAATCACTCCCGCCAAAATAACCGTTAGAAGAGACTACACACAATGTAAAAGACAACCCACAATACACCACTGACACGTATATATAAACAGTCGAGAAATAAAACAAAACACAGTGTATGTGGCCTGATGATTGCATTTAGCATGAAGCATTCTGTCACCTCTGAGCGTTGACTTCAATATTAACTTTTATATTTACATAGGGTCTATCTCTGATATTGAGCACTTTATTCCATAAATATAGCATACCTTAAAACTACATTTTTCATATATATATATATATATATATATATATATATATGATTTAAAAGAACCAACAAAGTTTGTCTGTTTGATTATTTATTTATTTTGTTCAATTACATTTTGATTTCATGAGAACCAATGTGTTGTCTGTGAGTAGGCAAAAACCCTTTTGTCCAAATCCTAGTCGTCTTTAGTAAGCAGGAAATGTGAAATAGTCTCGCGTGAAGTGACACAAAAATAATTCCATGTATTTTATTTTATTTTTTAATATTAAAATATACGCACATTAAACATATAATATGCACTTGTAGATACCGTCTCCTCTGCTAAATGATATTTTGTTTAATGCGGACTGTTTATTTTGTATAGTTTGTAGACTGTTGAGTCTTACATCGCGTATTTTCGTACTATCCAGTAATATCTGTTTTATGTTGATAGTTTTAGTCGATCATGATGTGCTGGTCGATATGTGCACGGTTTGCACTGAGTTTCGACAGGTGACAGGTGAATCTACGAGATAGCGTCGTGTATGTATGTCCGCTGCAAGCATTTAATGCTGATTTTTGAATAGTAGTTTTCATTCCGTGGGGGACATTAAAATTCATATGACGTTGTTGATAATAATTAAATTAGATGTTTAAAACTTTTCATCGAAGATGCCAATTCGAGAAAAGTAGGATTAATAAATAAATAAAAAATGATTATTTCATTAGAAATTTCTTTGTTTACGTTTCGCATACAGAAGTGAGAAGTTATGAACTTTCAACAATGTGAGCGATTAAAATGTGCTTAAAGGCAAAACACAACATTGCTTAATTACGAATGTTTTCGTAGCCGAGTTGGTTAAAGTCCGTCGGATCTAACAACGGTGTATCCTGCACACTGGGGAGACTTAAGCTTAAATAAGATGAAGCTGGTGAAATAAAATACTGTTTAAAATAAACGGAGAATGATTATCCGTCAAAAATAACGTTTAAAATAAGAAGAATATATCGGACTTACATTAGTTTGATAGATATGAGTTTGTGAGCCTGGATTTCACACTTTTGCGATCACCAGATTTTGTCTGATGATCGCAAAAGTGTGAAACCCAGGGACACAAACTCATCCAACTGATTATACATATCCAACTGAATATATATATATATATATATATATATATATATACATTACGAAATGGACAAAGTCCGACAATTATTTTATGACAGATGTTTAAACTTTAAGTAAATGCTCTGCATATAATAAACAACATTTACCGGCCTGAATGTCCTAGAAATTTTCCTCCGACAGGAATCGAACCATTATCCTATACGGAACCTTCATATAGCCTGACGTGCCTTTAACCGATTCGGCCACAGAGGAGCGTTCGGTTAGCAAGGTCGATTTTATTGTCTTTAAACTTTAATCTTCCATGATTTCTTCCCGTACATTCATATCTGATCAAAGCGTATCCAAATGAAAACAAATGACGTCGCACATTATGAAAAAGACAAAGTCTGACAATTATTTCTAAGACATTTTTATGTTTATACATTCTTTTTATAGATACAAATATTTAAATAAATGCTCTGTTTCATAATAAGCAGTATTAAACAACATTTACCGGCCTGAATGTCCGAGAAATTTTCACACACACACACACACACACACACACACACACACACACATATATATATATATATATATATATATATATATATATATATATATAAAGTAAGAACAGTAAGATATATAATCCTGTGTTCTTATTGTTATTTTTTATTCGTACTTTTACAAAATAGTGCTCAATGTATATTTACGATAAACTACGTCTGCGTCTTGAATAAGACGATAAACTACCTCCGCGTCCTGGGTAAGACGATAAATAACATTCGCGTCCTGGATAAGACGATAAAATATGTCCAACAGCAACGCCTCTAGCCATCTGTGGCCAATTTTAAAATCCAGAGTGGGATTCCAAGTGGAACTAGCCTACACACTGGCCTGGCGTTGTGGCGGATGAGGTTGACAATTGTTTGCGGAGTAGAAAAGATTTAATTTGGAAATTTGCAAAAATAAACAACTGGTAAGAAGAACGCAAAAAATAAAATGAATTCTATGCAACATTGAGGAAAATGTCAAACAAACGTCGCGTTTTTACACATACACACGCACACATCAAACACGTGTGTGCGTTCACAGGATATGTCGTTCAACAGCAACGCACGCTAAGCTATATATATATATATATATATATATATATATATATATACTTATATATACTTAGGAAGCAAAGTCAATTCAAGTAACTCTTTGGATGACGAGATAGTTAACTGAATATCAAAGGCAACCAATGCATTTGGGAATCTTAAGCATCGTCTATGGATGTTCATGGGATTTCACTGAAAAGAGTGTCTATCGAGCAGTCATTCTCACCACACTTCTTTATGGGTCAGAACCGTGGACGCCATACAGGACGCACATCACTCAACTTCTTCGTCCAATATGCGGTTATAAACGGCAGGACAAAATTTCTAATCCTGATCTTTTCATCAAATATGGTGTCGGTGGTATTGAATCCTTTCTGATGCAATCACAGTTCAGATGGGCTGGTCATGTCATCGGAATGAGTGATGATCGGATGCCGAAAATCCTCATGTACAGCCAACTTTTTCATGGTAAGCGTAATGTAGGCCGTCCTTAGTTACGCTTCAAGGACAAACTCAAATACAAATTAATTGCTGCAAACGTCCCTATAGAGGAGTTCGAACTTGCTGTGGAAAACCGAGCAAACTGCTACCGAGATATAACTTACTTAGAAATAAATCGTCTCAACCATTTGCGAGAATTAAGAACCAACGCTAAATCTTCGGCTAATAGATCAGCCCATATGACGGTCAACCCTTGAGTATGCCCTTCGTGTGAACTTGTTTGCAAATCCCGTGCAAGATTGTTGTCTCATACGAAATATAAACATAAAAACTGAATTGAAAGTGATCGAAAATGGCGGGGAGAGTCCATGATGATGATGATATATATATATATATATATATATATATATATATATATATATATATATAATATTATAAAGTAACTGATTTAAAATATGGTTTTCGCTACACAGTAATAACCATGTTTCAAAAACTGAAGCTAAAAACTTCAAATTTAATTATCTAATTAAATTAAAAGCATTAGTTCTGTTTCATCTTCAAGCGAATTTTGGAATAACTTATTTTTTAAATTTACTGAGTTATAAACGCACATATAAATTCCTAATTTCCTGTTTCCAAGGATGCAGAGAAATCCAATCATTCAGACAGGGGCCGTAGCATGTTCATTTTTATTAAGTATTTTTTTATCAATTATGAGATACGTTCGAAAAAGAAGTTAAGTTTAGGGGGGGTAGGGGTATATTTTTCAACGAATTCTGACATCCGTTAAATACATGTCGTCTGGGTTTATACACACACACACACACACACACACACACACACACACACACACACATATATATATATATATATATATATATATATATCAAGTATGTGGTGCAGTTCAATTTACATTACATGAATCATTCATACAAAAAACTGATGTAGTAATTAATGATATAAATGGCGAGAATACATCTTCGCAAACAAATTTAATAAAGTACATTAACTCCGAACCTGTAGATGAATGTTATGATCCCTGTTTATAAATTCCAGTTGCATAAGGTCTTTTTTTAGTATTTTACAAGCTTTCATCTGTTCCTACAGACATCATCAGGTATGGAAATAGATTTGTTTTTGTTTTTTACTTCTCGGTAATAACAGGACAACGAAAATATAGATGTAATCCGTGTATGTGTGTGTTTGTATATATATATATATATATATATATATATATATATATATATAAGCATTACGCCCCGAGCAAGGCGTGAAGCCACTAGGATGCAGGGGGTTGCAGAAGATTTGGAGCGAGAGCAGATAGGAGTGATAGAAGAAAGGATGAGGAGAAGGATAGTGGGTTGATCAAGGTAACTGGAGATGTCGATTGACATTACATTTGAATAGTTGGAGATTATAGCTCTCAGGGAAACAGTAATTGGGAAGGGTGTTCCACAGGCGAGAGGTGCGAGGTATGAAGGTGTGTATATATATATATATATATATATATATATATATATACAAAATACCTGTTATAAAAACATGGTAGTAATGTTTTCTTCCGACATATCATTCCATAAAGAATTCAGTCAGCTATGTGCCATGCATGATACACACTTAGGCGATCATGTATCTTTCGATACATGACTGACGAGGGAGAATTTTTTCCCTTCACTAGGTTGCCATTTCTTTCTGCAGTAGACACCCAAGGCTACAGAACCCGATCCATCCTGCTATTTACCCATAGTTGTGGTGGAGGAGGGGAGAAGAAGAGGATTCACACCTTTCCCAAGGGTATTAGCACGTAAGTATAGATAATGGATTCGGCTGGAATTCGAACTCGGCTCTACCGATCCCTCAATCCGAGCCCGTTAATATCCATTACACCACCGTGCCTCCGTAAAGAACTAAGTGACATTAAACAAATCCTAATAACAATATCATTGCTAGCCATGCCGTCGGCGAACAGATAAAATTAGCCTTAACGAAATTTAGAATAAATAACTCAAGGAAGCTCCTTGACGCAAACAAAAATAAACAGACGATTAACTTTTCCTATATTAACCAGATGCACTCTAATTATAAACAGGATGAAAAGGCAATTAATAGCGCCGATACATATCACTCAACGAACCTAACAAACACTTAAGACTGATCATATACTATAAAAAGTTTAAAACATTTAATTTAATTATTACCAACAACAGCAAACTATATAAATCCCCCTTATATAAGTCCCTCCTATATAAAAGAAATAATGCTGGCTATTTAAATATGAAATATTTTGGAGGATGGGCAATTATCCGATGCTGTTACATGATTTGGACAATTTTGTTGCTACACCCAGTATATGCTTTTGCACTTGTTTTTGAAGCTGATGTATTTGTTTTGTTGCTCAGACAATATATATAAAATCTAAAATATATTTAAAAGTAGTGCCATATGCTCCAGTCGACGAATCGGTTTATAAGGCGATCATACGCCGACTAGGAGATATATACATTCTCACACCTGTGGAGAGATACAAGCTATCTCTCCCAGATCGTTACAATGGACAATTGGTAAACAAAAATATTTTAAAACCGCTGTTCGATTGGGATAATCGAACAGTAATCTTTCCCAGGTCCGCTTCGTTTTCAACACGAATACTGATCCACAATACAAGGATGAACTATAAGGCTTAGCGATTTTTGATACAAGAATTTTAATATGTACAAATATACAAATATCAAAATAAAAGAACAGATAAGTACTAGTTAAAACATCCGACGACCAGATCTCAAAACTTATGTTGGGATATCAAAATTCGCCTAACACCAAATGGATTTAACTGAACCGGAACATACAAAAATATAAGTATGAATTACTATGAATTGAATGCAGAAGCCAACATATACACAAAAGAGATGGGATAGGAGTTAAAATTATTGTTTTGACATGTGGAAAGGTGTTTGCAAAAACATAATATTCATGGATGTATGTATATCTTTCTACTACGGGTCCAAAATATGATTATTTATCTTTTATATTCAGTTCTTTTTTTTTTAATCATTGTTCTTTCTTTTCTTTTCTCGACACAAACACAATTTCACACACTGTCCGGCTGTAACAGAGGTATACACTTTCTTTCTCTCTTTGTTTTGCCCTTTCCTTTCCTTCCTTTTTCTTCTGTAGACAGTTCAGTTTCCAAACCCGACTCACTGCAACAGGGATGTACGCTTTCTTCCTCTCTTTGATTTTCTTCTTTCTTTCCTTCTTCTTCTTTACACAATTCAGCTTATAACAGAGGTATACACTTTCTTCTCTGGTTTTCCTTTTTCTTTTCTTTACACAATTCAACTTGTAACAGAGGTATATACTTTCTTCCTCTCTGGATATCTCTTTTCTTTTCTTTACACAATTCAACTTGTAACAGAGATATATGCTTTCTTCTCTGGTTTGCCTTTTTCTTTTCTTTACACAATTCAACTTGTAACAGAGATATATGTTTTCTTCTCTGGTTTATCTTTTTCTTTAAACGCAGGCTAAATCCTCAGCGTATAAATTTCTCTGCGTCTTCAATTTAGGGTTCTCGAACAGGAATACTTCTTGTTATATTTCTTGTCCGGATTTGCTTGGGTTTGCCTCTTCAAAATCAAGATAGCAACTGATTCTCGAGTGAATCTCTGACTGTCACTTGTCTTAAGTTTTGGCGCGAATTCCAGCTTGCATCCGTCCCCTGTCTAGCTTCTGTCTAGACATTTGTCACTACGGGTAATTGGGTCGGTCAACTTTTTGATCTGCCTTCCCGAAATGTCATAAGACTCCCACGTGACCTTTATTCTGTTGCTAGGCGGAAATTAACCCTAATATATGCGTATCTGTGTGTTTAGGCTATCTGCCTTCGTCACAGTAGAGTCAATAGAAATATTTCTGTCGCCAGATTTATTCAACCTATACGATGAGGCAGTTCTGAGAGAATTAGAAGTTCTATCAGGATTCATTATCGGTAGTCACATTCTTAATAGCCTAAGATATGCAGATGATAGTGTTAATAGCAGATATAGAATGGAAACTAAGAATTCCTACAGAAGCTAATGAAGGAAAGCTAGAAGAAAGGACTAATCATCAATTGCAAGAAAGAATGCATGGTTGTCAGCAAAAGGAACAGCCCAGAATACAAATTACAATTTGGAGATACCCAAATCAAACAAGTAGAAAAAATTAAGTATCTGAGAAGTGTTTTAACAGAGGATGGAAAGTGAAACACTGAAATCCGAAGTTGCATTGGGAATGTTGTCTTCCAAAAGCTAAGCAAAATATTAAGAAACATGAAAATGTTGTTAGAAAATATTAATATAAAACAACAGCATTAAGTATTTACATCGAGCACACATACGCCACATTCTCTCACAGATTGACTTGTCACCTGTCGAAACTCAGTGCAATCCGTGCACACATTCACTAGCACATCGTGAACGACCAAAATATAACTATCAACATAAGACGAATATTAGTAGATAATACGAAATACTCCCCACAATGCAAGAAAAAAAATCAAAACCTTAGAAGCTATGATTATCCCAAATACCAAGCCCCATTAAATAAAACATCATCTACGAGAGGAGACGGTAACTTAAAGTGCACATGATATAATTAATGTACACATAAAAACAAATAAATAAAATGATAAATTGAAAAAATAAATAAATAAAAAAAAATATGTTGCGTTCTTTTTGCACGACCTCGTTCACAATTGACTGTTGCACATGGCATAGGATATATATATATATATATATATATATATATATATATATATATATATATATATATAAAGGGTGTTCGAATGATTTGGACCGATTTTAAATGTGAATTAAGTTTAAGCGTCTAATGATTTTTTTTTCTTTTTCTTTCAGATTTAACAACTTATGTGCTTGGCAATTTCAACCATGAAAAGATTTATAATCAAACAACGTGTTAAAGTCATCGAAGCCTATTAGGAAAATGTAAGTTCAAACAGAATTTGAATGGGAATTTCCCAGATCGCATCATCTCTCGAAACAGCGAAGTCAATTGGCCACAACGATCGTGTGACTTGATGCCTTTAGATTTCTTTCTTTGAGATCATTTCAAAAGTAAGTTCAGTGCCAACAAGCCACTGACAATTCAACAGCTGAATGATGAGATAATAAGGCATATTGGTGAGATCGAAGAGCAACTATACAGAGACATCATCAAAAATTTTGACCATCGAGTGGAGGTATGCCTCTGAAGCACTGGCGGACATTTGGGTGATATTATTTTTCACACATAACTGGCATGACTGAAATAACACAATCCAATAGAGAAATAAATCATTTTCACCAATAACACTGAATTAATTACTGCTGACTTTGATCCGTCTTAATGAAACACCCTTATACATAATCCGTCTTAATGAAACACCCTTTGATAGAATCACCAATACATTTTATCTGTTTAGATTTCTTCCTTTGGGTTCATCTCAAAAGTAAGGTTCATGCCAACAAGCCAACAACAATTCATCAGCTGAAGGATGAGATAATAAAGCATATTGGTGAGATCGAGGTGCGACCATGCAGCGACGTCATAAAAATTTTTGACCATCGAATGGCGGTGTGCCGCCAGAGCCTTGGTGGACATTTGGGCAATATTATTTTTCACACATAATTGCCATGATTTAAATAAAATATTCCAATTGAGAAATAATTAAATTTTCATTAATTACACTGATTTATTTACTGCTGACTTTGATCCGTTTTAATGAAACACTGCTCTCTCTCTCTCTCTCTCTCTCTCTCTATATATATATATATATATATATATATATATATATATATATATATATATATATATATATATATATATATATATATATATATATATATATATATATATATATGTATGTATGTATATTAGCAGAAATACTCGTCGTTGAATGGGTTTGGAAGAAGCTGACAAAATTGTACTATGTTTTAAAAGGATATTGATTAGATAGTATTGATCATATAATAATAACGCAATAGTAATGACTGTCAGTTTTAATTTAGAACAAAAAGATGCTTTCTCCAGGCTAATATCATCATGGTTGCATATAAACTTCTGGTATACGATCTCTATATTTTGGTCTGTAAATGAAGCAATCATCACATATATATCGAAATGAAAGACTGAGGAAAGCTATAAACATATGAATATTACAATATTTATTTAAGTACTGCAGCAAACATCAATAAAATATATACCATTATAGTAATGTTTATTTTCAGTATAATATATCTAGTTGTCTGGTTGCTGCATTCTGTTGCGTATTCATTCTGAGTCTCCTCTCGCTTACTTCTGGAGTTTCAGTTTGTCTGGCAGCTGAGTATCCATACTACGTCTTATTTCAATGAATGTCTTGATGGAGAAAATGAATTTTTGCCTGTAGTTTTCATTTGTTTTGTTTTTTTTTTTTATTTGTTAACATGAGTTTTAGTCAGACCTTGTATAAGTAAAACAGTACCTTTTAAGTTGTTATTTAAGATAAGAGCTGGATTGATCCATGCTTCTCTGATATATATATATATATATATATATATATATATATATATATATATATATATATAAAGTTAATATATAGAAGTGAATATAGAATAATCTTCCCGGCGAAGTGGAGATGGTGATAAAATTTTAAATAATTGTTTAGTATATGTTTCAGGTTTATTCATATACCTTTTGTTTATGTTGTCTGTTAAGGGGTCCACCCCTTTTTATACAAGTGGACTCGCCTAGTGTGTACTTGTAATGCTGCCGGTGAATACCCGGAAGTGAGACAGTGAGAGAGTGAGAGAGTGAGAGTGTGAGGTAACCGCTTTGTAGAAGTCACAGGTGCAAGCACGTGGACTCAGAAGGAAGTCGTACTGCGATACTGAATTTCCCAGACTATATATATATTATTATTGCTACTAACCGCATTTCTGGATCTACTAACCGTATTACCAATTGTATTATTACGTCAATACATTTATTTGCTATATTTCATTCCTGCGTTTGTCATTCATTCGAGACCGGATTTGAGACCGGAATCCACAACATTGCCATCACTTTTACTATTAAATATCCTAGAGTGGGATCTGTTAAGGAAGATGAAATGTTGCAAGAACTTAGCCGCAAACTTTCTGTGTATGATGCAACGAATAAAGAACTTTCTAAACATTTTCGTCTTGGTAAATAGTTTTCTCTTTTAATTAGAAAAGCTCTTTTGAAATCAAAATTGTGGTCAGTTTGGTTACGATGACGATATTTAATGTGTTTTTTTTTTTTGTAATTGGAAGTCGAGACCAAATAGTGAATCTATCTCTATCTATAAAAGGCAGGATGTGCGCGCGCGTGTGTGTGTGTGTGTACGTACCGAATGCACGGCCGCAATTTTCGACGGATTTGCAGCCAAATATATATGCTCTAAGTTAGCGGAAAGGCCAAGACCGACTTTGAATTTCCCAACTCCCATCGATAGTGGAAATAATCGACTTTTTGATGCTTCTACGGCAGTTTTCATGTAGTTTGCGGTCATTTTCTACTGACCAGAGTGAGAGCCAATAGCTGGCTGCCACGAATAGGCAGGAAGATTCTATTGGCCAGCGTGAGAGCCAACAGCTGACTGACATGAATGTTAACTAGCATGATATCAGGCAAAAAATCGATAGCTGCTTTCGTCACAAGTGGGAAAAATTTAAATCTGCATAGCACTTTACTCCAATTGGCTCATTCGATTGCTTAAACTCAACGTTGATTCTGATTCCGCAGAACTGGGTTGGGTGTGAAAAAGTATTTGTTGTTAAGATTCTTTTTTCATTCGGTTTTTCCAATTACGAGTCCTTTTTTAAAGCTGATCGTTTTGTGTTCATTTTGTTTAGTTCTTTTTTCGTAACAGATTTAATGTTTAGAATAGAACTTAGAAAAAATTCGTAGTGTGAGATAGGCAAGAAGTAAGGCATGTAGCAACATCAGCACGGCAAAGGGTACTCCTTTAAATGCAAGGAAGGGCAAAAATATTTTAAGTCAAGTGATAGCGATTGCTGTATGAGTCGTACAATTTTTTAATCAAGCACGGGCAACGCCGGGTCATGCTGCTAGTCGCATATAAAGCTACCCAATACCGAAGTGGAAACCATTAGCTTTGGTCTACAATTCGTTACCGAGATTCATAAATGAAACCTACTTGATACAATTGTTAATTTTAATAATAACATTTTTTTTTAATTTAGTTTTTTTTATTTTTTTTATTGATGGCATCGATCATGTCTGTATAGGGGGAGGGAAGGAAACACAACAATTCGCCATGGAAAAACACCGAAGATTTAAGTTCTCTTAACTTAAAATTTTGCTCTCCGATCGGTGCATAATCTAAACGATATTATTCAGATTTCCATCCCAAAGTGTAATGGCTGTATCCTGTTAGGAAATGTAATATGTAATATAATTCTGGATATAAATTTAATATAAAAAATTAAGAAATTAGTGCACTTTCTATATATTTTTGCCTTCATACTTTTAATTAGAATTGCATATTTAAATCTAAGCAAGTATCAACAGAATAGACTACAAAATTATCTCACAGAAACACATCTTCGTAAAAGAATATTTAAACAGGATGAAACAGATAAATTGCAAATAGATTGATATATAGGAATTGAATAGATAGATAGATAGATAGATAGATAGATAGATAGATAGATAGATAGATAGATAGATAGATATGAAGAGACTCGGATGAATAGATAGATAGATAGATAGATAGATAGATAGATAGATAGATAGATAGATGTCAAATGACTGAGAAAATCTCTATGAACACCTTTATAATTAAACACTTCCGCTAACATGAAAGCACACACACAAACACAGACCCGGAACAAATCGAACACAGAAAATTTTGTAGGACGCCAACACACCCAAATTATGGCAGGGAGAGTAACTGATATACAGAGCCACACATAGAAGAGAAACGCACATTCAAAAGCATGAAGTCACAGAAAAAGCACATATGCATATAAACACACACTGGGAAACACATATACATAGACATACAAAAACAGAAAATAAATATTAAACACAAATTATACACAAGCAGACATTAATAAAATCACTCGTGTGAGGTCATATCAACCAGCACAAACTCATATACACGCAAGTTTTGCGGGTACGTACGCGGGTACTGACCATCTCCAGTCTCCTCCCCTCCAGTATACACAAAAAAAGATCCCAAAATGAACCTCGAAGTTTAATATGTTAAAAAATTGCAAAGGAATGATAAAAAAAATCTTCTGACTTGAAATTCGCGCCAATTGGATTTTCAAAAAATATTTTACGCAAGTTAGGTTGAAACCCCAATAAACCTGATATCATCTCTCACGTACAATTTTGTTTTGTCTCAGTGTTATATTTTAGATTAAACACACTCACACACACACACACACACATATAATTATTCTCTCTCAAATATATATATATATATATATATATATATATTCTCTGTCTAGTCTATATATATATTACTATTTATATATATATATATATATATATATATATATATATATATATATATATATATATATATATATATATATTTCCTTCCCATGTCTATTGTAATTTTAATTTAAAAATAGGACGACCAAAAGTGTGGAAAACATAATTTACACACACACACACAGACACACACATATGCAAAAAGTACTGAACTGAGACCTATTAGGACATAATGTAAATTTTGTTAAATATATCCGGCTATGTAAATACAAGTAATTAAAAAATATTCATTGTCAAAACGCCCACGCATCCATATAAATTACTAAAGTAACGAAATAAATTTGAAAAAAGGCATAATTTATTAAACAAGAGAAATTAATGAATGTTGAAACATGTTGTACCAGATTAATTCAAAACATTTTGAACATGATTAATTCCAATTTTTGATGATACCTTTTTTAAAAAATTATTTTCTTACGTATGGGCAAAAACAAAAAAATTACTTCAATTATACTAGAAAAAAACAAAACAAAAGAATATGTAAACTTTGAACTTTGAAATATAGAACGAGGCACAAGCAGAAAAAAAAAACCCAAAAATATATATACATACTCACAGACAACTCCTTGAAGATAATCTCAGATCAGATTAAAAGTACTTGGGAAAATAAAAAATATTCAAAATAAAATTTTGGTATTTTTCTTACTCAGTTTTCTAAGTCTACCAAAAAATTAATCCGCGAACTTAAAAAAAAACACAAGGAAAACTAATTGCCATTATTTAACCAGACCTGTTTGAATGAAAATATTCTGTCTAACTATACACAATAAATATATATATATATATATATATATATATATATATATATATATATGTTGTATGAATATTTATTCATTAGCTCTGATTAGTTAGTTTATACCTACTAGTTAATTGTGCGGATTAGAGTGTGTTTTCTGTTTATTTTACATACACAATCCTTTATTTTCTTCCATTATATTTACATTTATGTTTATTTCAAATATAAAATTCATTTTTTTAACAATCCCCCGCATAATATATGGACTGTCCCACACGATATATTCAACAAAATTTAAATTTCGTAACAGTCAGTCTCAGTTCATTTTTGAACAGACTGCTGTTTAACTCTCTTTCCGGGTGATGAAAAAAATGATATTTATTTATATATATAGACGTGCGTTTAGACAGATTGTTGGGCTGTATCAGCCTAATGGTTTATCACTATGGCATGAACCATGTGGATTGCTTGTCAGTCTCAGTTCAGATGAAACGGGACTGATTTGACATCAGATGAAGTCACTCACACTTAGGCAGTTTATCACTATGGCTAAACCCACTTATTGAAAGGGAAACCTGACTGATTTGACATCGTATTATATCACACGAGTTATAAGCTATTGAAAGGGAAACTGTCTATTATATGAGAGTTATTGATTGATTCATTCAAGCGAAGAGCTGTCAGCGTTAATTGATAGCAGCTGACAAATTACCTTCTTTTCAAAGTGTTCTACCTACGAGAGGGGGCGCATATATATATATATATATATATATATATATATATGTGTGTGTGTGTGTGTGTGTGTGTGTGTGTGTGTGTTTGTATGTGTATGTATATATGTGTATATATATATGTATGCCCCCCTCTATATATATGTTTAAAAAGGAAGAACAATAAGATATGTAATCAGATGTTCTTATTGATATTTATATTTTACAAAACAGTGCGCAATGTAAATTTAAAGAGCATATTATTAAATTAATATATAATTTATATATATATATATATATATATATATATATATATATATATATATAAACAAAGTTAACTGTTTATTACTCCAGGCACAAATAAGGACAAAAAAAATGTAAATTTGTGCATAATGACTGAAATATAATTAGGTGGAATAATTGACAATAATACGGTTTAGAAATAGATAGTACTGG